GGGACCTGAGCATGGGGGCAACCTGGAGAAAGCTGACGGGTGGCCCTGCTCGGGAGCTGGGCCGTGAAGGCCAGGAGGGGGCGGGGAGTGGCCCTGGAGGAGCATCTAAAGCCCCTCTTCCCAACAGGCTGTTTCCTAAATGGGCGGGAGCACCGCAGCGGGGAGCCCGTGGGCTCAGGGGACCCCTGCTCACACTGCCGCTGTGCTGTGAGTGTGGCTGCCTGGCAGGGAGGGCCTGGCTCCCGGGCCTGCCTCAGGCGTGCTGACCAGGCCCTGTTGGCAGAACGGGAGCGTCCAGTGTGAGCCTCTGCCCTGCCCACCGGTGCCCTGCAGACACCCAGGCAAGATCCCTGGGCAGTGCTGCCCCATCTGCGATGGTGAGTGGGGGTCAGAGTCACTGCAGGAGGGACAGGCCCTGGCCGCAGAGAGGCCCTAGGTATGGGGGGTTTGCTTCTCTTGGACTTAAGTCCTTGTTCCCAAAGTGAGTCCTCACCACACCTTCTCATGGCAAACTGGCATTATGGTAAAGCCTGTGCTTCTGTGGCATAGCTGTAGGGGAAGGGGGCTGCTGGCCGGGACCTCTGGAGGACTCAGCTGGTCTGCTTTGTCAGAGTGGAGATTGGACGCCTCAGGGTGACGTGAGGCTTCCCCTCCACCTCCAGCCCTATACCCCCACGCTCCTGTCATCCCATCCAGGCTGTGAGTACCAGGGACACCAGTATCAGAGCCAGGAGACCTTCAGACTCCAAGAGGGGGGCCTCTGTGTCCGCTGCTCCTGCCAGGTAGGCATCCCGCCGGTCATGCCCAGATCGGTCTCATTCCTTCAGGGTCTCTCACCTGCTTCCCTCCTAGGCCGGTGAAGTCTCCTGTGAGGAGCAGGAGTGCTCCGTCACCCCCTGTGCCCTGCCTGCCTCTGGCCACCAACTCTGCCCAGGTGTGTGTGAGAGAGAGGAGCAGCTGCTACGGGCGCTGCAGGTGGATGGTGCTCCTTCCCCTGATGGAGTACTTGTTGCCAAGTCCACTAGCCATTCTACAGTGTCAGTGGGGATGTCGAAGCTGGGGTCCCTGTGGCCTGGGAAGGAAAGGAATGGGTGGGAGGTGTGAAGGCTGATGTGACAGCCCCTTACCATAGCCTGCGTGCTGGATGGAGAGGAGTTTGCCGAGGGAGTCCAGTGGGAGCCTGATGGTCAGCCCTGCACCTCCTGCATTTGTCAAGATGGGGTATCCAAGTGTGGGGCTGTGCTCTGCCCCCCAGTGCCCTGCCAGCACCCCACCCAGCCCCCTGGTGAGTGCTTGGGCCAACCTTGGCTTTCTTCCCCTGCATTTCCCAGCTCACCCTGACCAGCCTGTCCTGCCCAGGTGCCTGCTGCCCCAGCTGTGACAGCTGTACCTACCATGGCCAAGTGTATGCCAATGGGCAGAATTTCACAGATGCAGACAGCCCTTGCCACGCCTGCCGCTGCCAGGTACCCGCCCAGCCTCACTGTAGCCCCACTGAACCTCTCGTGGGCCCCATTGCTCTCACCCCTGCTCTCTCCCAGGATGGAACTGTGACATGCTCCTTGGTTGACTGCCCTCCCACAACCTGTGCCAGGCCCCAGAGTGGACCGGGTCAGTGTTGCCCCAGGTGCCCAGGTATGTATGCGCTCACTGTGCCTGAGAGGACCAGGGCCCCAGATGCTGCTGTCCCACAGCCCCATCGGCCCAACAGCTACCTTAGAAAGCCATGGCCTTCTGAATTGTTCCAGTCCTACAGAGCTTAGAACTCACTGGAACTCAAAGGGTAAGGGTGGGAAGGAGAGTAGAGATTTGTTCATTCCTGCCTGTACCTACACCACACTCCCCTCCCATGCTCCGTTTCCTTTTCCAGTAACTAGTGCCCCTGCTACCCTTGGGTCCCCACCCCTGTACCCCCCTAGGTACACCCATGTATCTACCTGCATAACAGAGGTCATGAGCAGACATTGAGCCTGCCATGTAGGAGGCTGGGTGCTGGGATGCATGGGACACGTCCCTGCCCCGTAGAGAGTCTGTGTGAGGGCATGTGTCACAAACACAGGTACACACGTGTGTAAGCACTCCTCCGCTTCCCCTCACAGACACACATCTGCCTACAGGTGGATGACCTCCAATGCACATGCACACACACGCACTCATGTGCTCAACTACACACATGCCAGCACACGTGCACATGGCCACTTCTTCCACTTCCCTCTCCAGTCAGTTTCCAAGTGGGCACTTGGGCAGCGGCTCTGGACTCCAGGGCTGGAGGGGCTGTCAGGCTCTGCCCACGTTCCTGCTCCCACTGTCCACTGCCCAGACTGCATCCTGGAGGAAAAGGTGTTTGTGGACGGCGAGAGCTTCTCCCACCCCCGAGACCCCTGCCAGGAGTGCCGATGCCAGGAAGGCCATGCCCGCTGCCAGCCTCGCGCCTGCCCCAGAGCCCCCTGTGCCCACCCGCTGCCTGGGACCTGCTGCCAGAACGACTGCAGCGGTGAGGTGGGCGGGGCGGGGCGGCCCTCTGGGGTCGCGTGGTCCCCGGAAGGCTGCAAGCCCTGGGGGAGTCTCCCTCTCCCAGGCTATAGCTGCTCCCTCCCCCAGGCTGTGCCTTTGGCGGGAAAGAGTACCGAAGCGGAGCGGACTTCCCCCACCCCTCTGACCCCTGCCGTCAGTGTCGCTGTCTGGTGAGTCCGCACCTGGGTGGGAGGAGCCCAGGGGAGTGGGGGCGGGACTAGCGGAGGCCAGGAGAGGCCCGCCCAGGTGGGAGGCGGTGAGAGGGGTCTCCTCGGCCTCCCCCCGCTAACCCACTGACCCGTGGTCGGTCCGCCGATCCGCAGAGTGGCCAAGTGCAGTGCCTGGCCCGCCGCTGCGCGCCGCTGCCCTGTCCAGAGCCGGTCCTGCCGCCGGGAGAGTGCTGCCCGCAGTGCCCAGGTAGGGGCTGCACCCGTTAGCCGCTCTTCCCCGGGGGTGCCCCGGGAGGCCTGTTCCTGGGCCCCTTTGACGCGCGCTCTCACCACAGCCGCCCCCGCTCCCGCCGGCTGCCCAAGACCCGGCGCGGCCCCCGCCCGTCACCAGGAGCACTTCTCCCCGCCCGGCGATCCGTGCCGCCGCTGCCTCTGCCTCCACGGCTCCGTGTCCTGCCAGCGGCTGCCCTGTCCGCCCGCGCCCTGCGCGCACCCGCACCAGGGGCCCTGCTGTCCCTCCTGCGACGGTAACGCCCTTGCGGCGCCCCTCCTGGCCACCCGCTTCCTCCCGCCACCACCCCCGCTACCGTCCCGGAGCGCTCTGCCCAGTCCCCCTGCCCAGTCCCCCTGCCCAGTCCTCCTGCCCAGTCCTCCTGCCCAGGCCCGCTCCGCCCACGTCGGGGATCTCGATAGGAATGTAGTGTCGGGTCATCAAGGCCTGGGAGCCAGCCCGCACTGCCCCCAGCCCCCCAACACCCACCCTCCACGTACCTCAGCCCCCACGGAGCCTACGGTCTCTCCGCCCGCAGAGTCCCCCAGCTCCCCATGGACCCCAGCCTCCCACGGCACCCAGGCTCCACGGTCCCCACGACACTCGTCCTCCACGCCTACCAACCCCAAGACCACCAAGTCCCCACGGTCCCCCAGCCCCCACGGCCGGCGACACCTGACTTTCTCCCCAGGCTGCCTGTACCAGGGGAAGGAGTTTGCCAGCGGGGAGCGCTTCCCATCGCCCACTGCCGCCTGCCATCTCTGCCTTTGTTGGGAGGGCAGTGTGAGCTGTGAGCCCAAGGCGTGTGCCCCTGCACTGTGTCCCTTCCCCGCCAGAGGCGGCTGCTGCCCTGACTGTGATGGTGAGGGTCAAGGGATAGGGGACTGCGGGGGTGGGGTGGGAGGACCAGAGAGCTGAGTGAGCCTAATCTTCACTGCCCTAGGATCTCAAATATTTATTACAGTAAGAAAAAGCCCTGAGGCCTAAAGCCCTTGCTAGCACCTGTGACCCCAACAATTTGGGAGGCTGAGGCAGAAGGATTGCTTGAGCTCAGGAGTTCAAGACCAGCCTGGACAACATAGAGAGATCTTGTCTGTGCACAAAAATTTTAAAATTAGCTGGTCATGGTGGCTCTTGTAGTTCCAGTTACTGGGGAGACTGAGGTGGGAGGATCCCCCAGGAGTTTGAGGCTTTAGTGAGCCGCGTTTTCCCCTGGACTCCAGGCTGGTGACAGAGTGAGACCTTGTCAAAAAGAAAGAAAGAAGAAAGAAAGAGAGAGAGAATGAGAGAGAAAGAAAGAGAGAGAGAGAGAGAAAAAAAAACGGGGCGCGGGTGCTCATGCCTGTAATCCCAGCACTTTGGGAGGCTGAGGTGGGCAGATCACCTGAGGTCGGGAGTTTGAGACCAGCCTAACCAACATGGAGAAACCCCGTTTCTGCTAAAAATACAAAATTAGCCGGGCATGGTGGCACATGCCTGTTATCCCAGCTACTTGGGCTGAGGCAGGAGAATCACTGGGACCTGGGAGGCAGAGGCTGCAGTGAGCCGGGGCAACAAGAGTGAAACTCCATCTCAAAAAA